CATCCATCCTGATGCTGCCAATTGGTCCAGTGGTGAGAATCTTTGTCTTCTTGACATTGAGCCTCAATCCATATTGTAGGCTGTAGTCCTTGACACTCTGCAGCAGGCGCTTCAGGTCCTCTTCAGTTGGAAAGCACTCCCCAACCTCCAGTAGACATGCTGCTTTGGCTTTGCAAACACATAGTGTCCTATGGCATATACCAGCTCAGATCCTTCATGCCCTGTGTTGCTGTGTCTGTGGTCTCCAGGGAGGCTGCATCTGAGCGCTGAGGATCTGGGCTACATGGAGTAACTTGTGCATCCCTCTCCCCCTTCAATTAGGAGCTGAGAATGTGGCATTCCCAGTCTGGTGGCCTGGCTCTTACTTAGTCCTGTAGCAGTTGGCTGGCTTCACCCTCCAGGGTTAGAAAGCGTGGGACTTACCAGCTGTACTTGGCACCCTGTGAACAGATGTCAGAGCTGCTCCAAGATTCTGTTCACTCCCTTGATGGACAGGGGGACAGTGGGAATGAGGTCCTCACTGTGGCCAGCAGCCTTGCATTTTTGTGAGTAGAGGCTCACTTTGCCTCTTGCTGTATGAGCTGGCTGCTCATACCCTTGCTTCTGGTTTCAGATCAGACCTACAGTGACCGCCTGGTCCAGGACACACCTTTCCTGACAAGCTATGGACGCCTGAGTGAGCAGCAAGTAGACAAGATTATTCTGCAACTGAATCGCTACTACCCACAAATTCTCACCAACAAGGAGGCTGAAAAGGTGCTGAAGAGGTGAACGTGGGCAAGGCTGGGCTGTGATTGGCTTTCTTTTCTATCTCCTCACACCTCCAGAGAGGCAGGGCTGCCTGACGCTAGCAACTTGGGCTTTGGCAGTGGGGCTGCCAAATCCCAAACCTATCTTCTTGGGTGACTGTGGGCCTGAGCAGTCAGCTCTGTCATTAATTTTTCATCTTCATGGATGGCTGCCAGCCCTTCCTGGGTTTCCTTGAAAGTTGAAACAACATGTGACAAGCATTGAGGCTCTGGGCCTCAGTCTCCCCATTTGCCAGTGAAGGTGACACTACTTCCTTGTGGGTTTTTAAGAGGACAGTGAAAAGAGATGGTGAAAACCCTCTACAGCCTCTAAGTTCGCTGTCCACAGACAGGACACATGCTGTTCTGGGTGGGGTTGTGCCTGTAGCTGTGAGACAAGGCTTCCATTTCTCCCAGAGAAGACATCTTCCAGTCTGTCCCCCTCTGTGGCCTGGGGCTGTGCCAGCTGAGAAGTAGATAGAGAGAAACCCATGGAAGGAGGCAGAGGACTGATGCCTGTGCATCCCCATCAGCTTCACTAGTCTCATCTGTGAGGTCGCCAGCCCCATACCGAGATGAGGCAGTAGAAACTCCATGGAGGAAGGTTCTGATAGGTCAGGACTGCTGCTGGTTTGGGCAGAGGTCACTGCTGCAGCCTTTGCTTCACCATGCATGAGATGGCAAGTGCCCTGAGCTCACAGACTTGTGAGGACTGAGCACAACAGACCCTGTGGAGATGTCTCCTGAACACCATGTTGTCTTGTCCCCATCACATGCCCCCAGCTCCCTCAGTAGGGTCACTGGCCAGGAGTGTCCACTTAGAAAATATCATAGAAAGGATGGACAAAGGGTTGCATAACCGCTCTCCCATCCCCGCTGTGGGCAGTCGCTGCTGTGGTGGTAATGCTTATTCAGCTGCCTCCTGGGGTCCCTTATTTAGTCTGCCCTACATGATGATTTGGCTGGAGAGTGGAATTTAAAGGGCAGGGAAATAGTGTAATAATGAATGAATGGAAACCCAAAGTCTCTGTAAATTTTCATTGAAATTAACAGTAAATTTAAAAAAAAACCCAGAAAAGAAAAAAAAAATTCAGTGAGCAACATGATGTACTATGTGTCCGGCAAGGCAACCCCGAATGACCCTTATGGACATCTGGTGTAAATCATCCATCTTTTTGCCCCATTAAAATCAGTGGCACCTACTTCATTAAAGCAGTTCAGCAGCTGAAAAAAAAAGAGGCAGGGAAATGGTTTGTGCACCCATATTCCCCCATACTAAGAGGGTCCCCATGGGTCTTAGGTTTCAGGGACCCTAGTTGGGGAGTCAGGCAGCAGGCCACCTGAATTTCTGTCCTTGCCTGAGGTTCCTCCTTGGGATAGCAGGGGTGGAAGCTTGCTTGGCTTTGGTATCCAGATCCTACTTCCCCACAGGTGTACTTGGTGGCCCCCTTCTCTCAGGCCTCCTTGTGCTCTCTTAGAGGAAGGAGTTGATTTACCACCTACAGCTGTCCTGATAGCTGGGACTTGGGGCTACTGGGACTCTCCTCACTAAGGAAAGCAGTACAATAATTGAAGAAAATAAGAGCTCATAGCCATACATGCTCACTGTAAAATGGAAAAGTTAAACCCCCTTGCCCATCCAATGCCTCATGCCTGCCATGCCAGCACTTGTGTGGGCATCCAGAGACATGGGCTCTCAGTGGCAACTGAGGGGTTAATGTCACCTCAGGGTTGTGTGTGTGTGTGTGTGTGTGTGTGTGTGTGTTAAGAGCTGGGGGCTGTGCGGGGGCAGGTTGGGCAGACGCCACCTTGTGTGTGTGTGTGTGTGTGTGTACGTGTGGGGGGTGGGGTGTGTGTACCTGCAAAGCCAAGGGCTTAGTCAGAGGTGGGGGGTGTATAGCGGCAGACAGCACACCCTCCCTCAGCCCTCTGGCCAGTCCAGAGTTCCACTAACACACGCAGTGAACCTAAACTCTAATATTTTAAAAAATACCTAAATCCAATTCCTCTATGCTGTGAAATAGTAAAATTTCTTCTCAATAGTTCCTGTCACAACCTTACCATCCAGGTTTACCTTTCCCCTTAGAGAGGTGGGACAACTTCTCATGGCCACACAGCAACCACTTAAGATCCTATCCTCATCAGGTTTCACCGGGACCTTAGACTTGTTTCCATCCTGGGAATGGGTGGTGGTCTCTCCCCCAGCGGAAAGAACGAAGCTATGAGCCCAAACCCTGCAGACTGACTCAGGCAGTGTGGGTGCTATGGACAGACATAGCCCAGTCGGCACCATCCCTGGCCTGATGACCCCCTCCCTGCAGTTCCGGAACCCCAAGGCCGCTCTGAGAGAGCGTCTCTACAGCCTCCTGCACCATCTGCAGCGCAGCAGTGAGCGTGACTGCCAGGAGTTCTACCGTGCCCTGTACATCCATGCCCAGCCCCTGCACAGCTCTTTGCCCAGCCGGCACACTCTGAGTAAGTCATTGCATGTGGTGGAGGCATAGGCAGACACCTGCTCCTGTGAGAAGGCATATATGGAGGCAGATTAGGGAAACCAGTTCTGTAAGGAGGCATAGCTGTACACCCACTTGCATGGCACTTCCTTTGCCCCTTGGTTGCCTGATCCCACCTGTGTGTGCCTGATTAAGGCTGACTGATGACACCCCCCAGGGGATGAAGTGATCCCCCTTGTTGTCCACTCCACCCCTGCAGCCTCAAGCCTGTGTCCCTCAACTCTTCCTCCCAGATCCCTGGGCTCTCCTCAGGTCCTCTCTACCAGTGCCCAAGGTAAGGCTCACCTGCCCACATCCTGATTGGCAGTGAGGAATTATCTACTCCACTTGTCAAGCCACAGTGGTGCCACCCCCACCTGTGTTCCCTGGGGTCATATTGGTGACTAGTCCTCTGATTGTTGTTTGTTGTTGTTATGTGCCGTCGAGTCACTTGCGACTCATAGCGACCCTATGTACAACAGCCCTAAACTTCGCTCTGTCCTGTGCCAATCGCACTGTCTCTGACACTCCCATCCCAATTATCCCAGTCACTGAATCAGTCCACCTCATAGAGGGCCTTCCTCTCCTGTGCTGTCCCTCCACCCTCCCAAGAATGATGTCCTTCTCCAAGGACCTGTCTCTCCTCACAACATGTCCAAAGTATGTTAGACGGAGCCTCAGAATCCTTGCCTCCAAGGAGCCACCCGGTTTAACACTTTCCAGGACATAGTGCCAAGAATACACTCAATGAGACAAATCCTTGATAGGACAGGCAGGATCAAAGGGCACTTGCGCTATCCAGTTCCTAGTGTTGACCTTGTAGGGGTTTCCCACCTCTTAGCACCCTTACGCCTCCTCCAGTAGATCCCAGAGAACACCCACAGACATGTATTGAGGCCTCTGCCTGGAAGTCCTAGTAGAGTTCTAGTCCATGGTTCTGACAACCTCACTGAACCTAGAGAGGGTGGCGTGCCTGGGCAACACATCCAGCCCCAGTATTCCTCAGCCCTGAAGCTGGAAAACACACACACACACACACACACACACACACACACACAGTACAGGCCTAGAAGCTGAGTCCCTTCATAGGGGACTACTGCACTGTGGGACAGAATATGACATTCACAGGCTTGCTGTGTGGCTAGGCAGACCCCTGTGCCATATCCCCATTTCGAGGTGGATACTTCTCCTGGCTCCTGGCCCTGAGTTCACCATTGTGCTGCTCACAAATTAACACCCCCACCACCCATCTAAATGGAGACTGGAAGGAAGGGCATATTTCCAAGGGCTTCCTTCACTTCCCCCGGAGTCTGTACTATGTCCTTGGCAGCCATGATGTTAACACCAGGTGAAGTGGTGTTTGTGGTGTCTGGTGACCTCAGGGTCCAGGATCCCTTTCTGTCCTTATAGGTTTTGGTAAAGAATAAGGTGCTCTTTGACTGGGGGCAGGTGTCCTACCCCAGTGTAACTCTCCAGATGTGGCCATGAATCCAGGAGGACTGGTGCTGCCCAAGCCTCCTCATGCCTAACATCCTCCTCCTAAAGACACTGCCTTCCTGGACCCAGCAGTGCCATTTGGATATTTCTGTGGGTGACAACAGAGTGTGGGCCCTCCATCTTCCCTGACTCACTCAACAATTAACCTGCTTTGTGATTTTATTTCCAGAAGACACAGATGGCAGAGTGCTAGACTCGGGCATGGAGAGATGGGAGCTGAGTGACAGGGGTAACATTTTCCTACCACATCGCTGTCTTTCTCCCTCTCTCTCCCAGCACAACATCCCAGCACCAGTTCTTCCTTCAGACTCCATCCCTGGCTTTCTCTTGATGGACAGACCCTATCTTTTTTTTTTTTAATTGCCATTCATTCGTTGTTGCACTTCCCCCCCTCAACCCTCCCGCCTAGTGCACTACCCTTTGGAAAAGGAAAAGAAAAATTCTTTCATTGTTTTACAATCCCTCCTCTCCACTATACAGCCTTTGCTCTGCACTCCTGTTATGACAAAAATATCTAATCACATATCCCTTTTAAACAGTTTTCTGCCTCATCTCTTTCAATGCAGTATGCTTTACTGAACCCATCCTTCTCAGTCTCCTCCCAACACCGCGGTCAGTCCTGTTTTACAACAGTGGCACCATGCAGTATTTGTCCTTTTGTGACTGAGATACTTCACTCAGCATAATGTCCTCCAGGGTCATGAGTTCCTTATTTTTCAATGCAGCCTAGTATTCCATTGTGTGAATATACCACAGCTTCTCTATCCATTCGTTTGTTGATGGGCACTTAGGTTGTTTCCAATTCCTTGCTATAGTGAACAAAGCCGTGATAAACATGGGTGTGCATATATCTGCTTGGATGTCAGTTATGGTCTCTTTGGGGTCTATTGCCAGTAGTGACATTGCTGGGTCAAATGGTATCTTTATTTGCCACTTTTTGAGAAAGCGTCATAGTGCCTTCCACAGTGGTTGCACCATTTTACACTCCCACCAACAGTGAATAAGGGTTCCATTTTCTCCACCACCTTGCCAGCATTTGTTGCTTGCTGTTCTGTTAAATTTTGCTATTCTGACGGGGGTGACGATATGTCATAGTTGTTTTGATTTGCATCTCTCTTAGAGCTAGGGATTTTGAACATTTCTTCATGTGCTTCTTAGCCATCTGAATGTCTTCTCTGGTGAAGTATCTGTTCATATCCTGTGCCCATTTTTCTATTGGATTATTTACCTTTATCTTGCTGTGGTGCTCAAGTATTTTATAAATTCTGGATATAAGTCCCTTATCTGATATGTCATTAACAAATACTTTTTCCCAGTCTTTGGCTTCCCTTTTTACCCTCGTGGAGAACTTTTTGGATGTGCATAGGGATATGATTCTTAGAAGATCCCATTCATCTATTTTATCTTCTCCTGTTGTAGGGGACAGACCCTTTCTAAAGTGCTTGCCGACAGCCTCTGGGCTTCTCGGCTCTAGCATCCCCACCCTGGCTCGCCTCCCCTGCTGGTCCCAGATGGCCTGCCACCTAACACAGAGGGTACATGTGGTGGAGCCCCCACCTGCTCACGTATGTTTCTCCTCAGGACCCCTGGGCTTTCTGGTTTGTCTCAGTGTGGCTGCGGGACTGGCCTTGCTCATGTACTGCTGCCCCCCAGGTGAGTTCCTGCAGGTTCGCCTCCCGACCCTGTGACTTGTAGTCGCACACTGTCACTTCTTCTTACTGTTTCCTCCTTTCTCAATATACCTTCCAGACCCCAAGATCCTGCCAGGAGCCCGGCGTGTCCTTGGCTTCTCACCTGTCATCATTGAGAGGCATGTCAGCCGCTACCTGCTGACCTTCCTGGAAGGTGACATGGGGGGTCCCTGATAGGATTTCAGATGCTGGACCCAACTGGACACTCAACCCAGATGCACAGGAAGCAGCTGCCTGGTCTCTACAGTCATCCAGCCTGTCGGGATCACCCTGAGCCTGTCTGCAGCTCACTTGCACGTGGAGAGGGCCAGAGGGTCTCCTTTTAAAGGCTCTGACTCTTCTGAGACTCACTTTGACCTATGAAGGAGCTAAATGTTATTAAATGGCTAAACTCAAGCTGCAAGCCTGCTCTTCTGTGCCTCCCCTTCCCCAGGAGAATGTCCTCTGTGACTCTGATTCTAGCTGCCCTCTCTACCCATGTGTGGGGCTAAGACTACCTCCTAGCCTCTCATCTGCTCTTCTTGCCTGTATCCAGCCCTGCTGTCACCAAGTGCCACACTGACACCCCTTCTTCTCCAGCTTGGCCAATACCTACAAGCCTAGGTAGGAGTAATGTCACACTATCACAACCTGGCCAGGGCCACTAAGCCCTCACTCCCACCCCTGTGCCCAGCTCCTTGTCCATTGTATCCTGTGGACTCAGGAGGACCCTGCCTGCCAGCCTCCAGGGGCTGCTTGTACATGCGGACATCACACCTCAGGGTGCAGACAGGAAAAAGAAGGAAGTCACAGCCGAAGGCCCCACAGCCAGCAAAGTGCAGAGATGGGACTTGAGGCCAGTCTGAGCTCAAACCATATCTATTTGTCCCCAGCTCCACTACCCATTCTTCTACTGGCATGCCACTTCTCCACTGCTGGGTTCCTTTCTTAGTACAAACAGTCTCATTGTAATTGTCAACATAGTAGGGTGCTCAGGCCTTGGCACCTCTGTTCCCCTTAAAAGGAAGTCCCTATTGAGAGCTGTGCCCAGCTCTTGGCAATTGCAGACCGTGAGGGTCCAGTACCAGGGTGTGCTGCCCAGGGCTTCGGCTTCAGTTCCATGACTCACGGGGGCTGCATGGAACAGTGTCCTTGCCCAATCTTCTGATAGGCCACCTCACCCTGGACAGCGCAGACTCCTGCAACACAAACAACTTACAGCTCAAAAATCGCACCTCAGGTCACAGGCAGAGACTGAAATAAAGCTGTTGAGCCTCCACTCAGGCATAAGAGAAGGGATGTAAACTCTGGAGTCAAAACTGCCCAAAGCACAGAATGTGGTGGTGTTGTTGTTGTTGTTATGTGCCGTCGAGTCGTTTGCGACTCATAGCGACCCTATGCACAACAGCCCTAAACCCTGCCCTATCCTGCGCCAACCTCACTGCCTCTGACACACGCATCCCGATTACCCCAGTCACCGAATCAATCCATCTCATAGAGGGTCTTCCCCTCCTGCGCTGTCCCTCCGCCCTCCCAAGCATGAT